ATAGTGTGTGTGTTATTATACCAACAATGTGTAATTTCTCGATAAAAAATATTACGATAAGGGATACTAATCCGAGAAATGATAGGAAATAATTGTTTACAAAACTATCCCTAAACGTAAAAGTAACCATACGAAATTCACAATATGCCATCGCATTTGTACATAGCCATACGAAGCATCGGTAATTTCTACAGTTATATAATAGCGACAGTATTTTTACACCTGACAGTAGAGCAGCATATAATAACAAAATTGCAGAATACCCACGAGCATTACGATTAATCTTGTTTGTTTGTGAAACAGAGACGCGTGTACCTAGAATTTTCGAATTCGTTTTTTCCTCGAAATGTGCACTTCGTACTTACATATCTCTCCTTCGTGTATCAGCAGTGTGATTGATGAATTACGATTGAAACGTGCTTGGAGAACGTTTGGAAAAAACTGAGTTACAAAGTCGATCACGCCATCTTATAACTTCCGTCTTGTTGTCTTTATCCACTCGATAAATTTTTCTCTCTCTTTTTATAAGTGTGCACATAATGAGTATACAGACTATATCTATGCGCCGTCAGAGAAGAATGTTTCAGAGCGAACACTGTAGGTATTTTCTCCTGTTATCAATCGCTTATATATTTTCGAAGCGGCGGCATGTTTTTGCCATCTTTGCCAATTCTTTGAAACAGAGGCAGATCGTGGAGTTAGCAATTAATAGATCAGTTTAAATAATGTAATATGTGTGGGTTAGCGAAGATAGCATGGTTGAGAGATTCTTTGGAAAAGTTTCGAGAGGACGAGTGGCTCGTAGATAGTAGACTCATCGCGCGTCTTTCGCCGTCAATTTCTCTATTAGCTCTTGCAAAGGTGCCAATTCTCTTCTCTCGATCAAATTAAATTCCTACAATGCGATATTATATATTTATATATTAAATATCAGGAATAAAATCAAATAATTAGATTAAATAACAAAACAAAGGACTCTTTCTAAACAAAATAAATAAAAATAAATATCGGGCAAAGTAAGAGTCAACACATTTCTTTAAAATTCACAAAAATGTATATTACAAATAACAGAGGTAAAAATTTTATTAGACTTCCGGTATTTTATCTCATTTATGCGTAGATTTTTTGGTACGTTTTTTTGTTGTTTTTTATTTTAATTTAATTTATCTTTTTATCAACTAGAACTTTACCAAGATATATTTTTAATACATTTGATTGTTCAACCGTTCGGAAACTACGTTTAATTCGACATCAAGACTCACCCGATATGTGATTGTT